GTTCTCCAGCTCACTACCTGCACAGAAAGCCACCCTCCTACCACCTTGCTAACGTAGTGGGAACTCCATCGTACCGTACAGGGCCTCCTACCTTCTCAAAAGTCTCAGAGACTTCTATCTCAGGAACTTCTTCTCTATTAGTAATTCTCAACATCTTTTTCTCATCTTTCCAGAACTCCGTATAAACTCTTCAATGGTTTAGATTTTAAAGAAAGGAAGAGCTTGGAAGTCCAGGTTACTTTAAAATCACTTGAGACCAGAAGTTAAAAACTCAGTACTTGGGACCAACAAGTAACATAGTGATTAAGGTCGTGGTTCCAATCTGGCCCAGGTGGCTTGAAACTTAGACCAGGCCTGTGTGCCCCAAACCCGAGGGGAGAATGGAGGAGAAGGGATTGCAGCGTGGCCATCCCCCTGGGAGTGATTTCTTACTTTCTGTCTTTCTGTCTCTCCCACAAGCACATGTGCCCTATAGCAAAACAAACAAACAAACAGACAGACAGACAGACAGATAACCTCAGTACTTGAGATAGTAATTTTTTTCTCACAATTATTTTATTTAGCTTTATTTATCCATTTATTTATTTAAATTTGACCAGAGAGGGATAGAGTGTGTGTGAGAGAGAGGGAAAGCAAGAAAGGAAGGCACCAGGTCCAGGACTCGAACCACAGTCAGCGATGTGGGAGTCCAGCGCCCTTAACCACCATGCCAGCTGGTGCCCCCGAAATCGTCTTAACGGTGTGGGCACATAAGGAAAACACAGACATTTCAACAAATAGTTCTGCTGTATTCCCGAAGTGCAGAAAGTGCACTTTTTGTGTATGAGGGGACTTCAAAAAGTTTGTGGAAAATGGAATTAAAGTACAAGTTTATTTTGGTGAAATAAAAAAAATTAATTTTTTGAAATTCATGCAGTTTTTTTCATAACACTCACTTGCCATGAACTTATTGAAGTCACAAGGTACTTAATATGGCAAAAAGTAATAAACCCAGCTTTAAGTTCTAATTCTGATCGAGGAAGCCAGTAGTGATGGCTACTGTTGAATACAGATTTCTAGGAAAGCAGTTGTTTCTGAGTCTTATAAATAGAAAGTAAACCTGACTTCGAGCCTCTAATCTCTCCACTCCTTTTCATTCAACTCAGGGATAAAGCTGTTTTCATCTGCAAGTATTTTACGAACTGCTGCAGCCTGAAGAAGGGTAGCTGAGCCCGGAAAGAAATGACGATTCTCACATTTGCTTTGTGAACAGGAGTTCTAAGTACACTATGCGATACTTGTGGAATCTTCCCTGCCTTTCTTTCTGTTCTTGATTTATCCAGTGAACACCAAACTGAACCGCTCAAAAGAATGCCAAGCCATCCAAGGGCATGGTGGTTAGGGTGGCTGGATCCCACACGATTGCATGTTCAACTCCTAGACCTGACACGTGTGTGCGTGTCCAACATTTCTGGGGGAGAATGGAGAAGGGGCTGCAGCACGGCTACCCCTTGGGGAGTGCTTTTTCACGTCCTGTCTCCTGCAGGTGAGTGCACACATCCTACAACACATTTTTAAAAACGTCATCGACAATATCAGATCAGAGGTGTGGTGTTTTTCCTTTGACAGAGGCGGTGTGGGTTTGATGTGTGCATGTGTGTGTATGCCTGAGAAAGAGTGAGAGACTCCTCCAGTGGGACACTGTCACACTACAATCCATTTTCCTGCATCCCTTCATCCCTTCAGGAGTTGGAACATGCACACACGCATATCCAGCATGATTTTCAAAGCACCGGGCCTGGGATTTGAACAGCTGTCAGTCATGTGGGATCTGGCTCCCAATACATAGCACTTAACCACTAAGCCATTAAGTTATAAGCCAGTCCCAGAGATTTTATTTTATTATTATTTTTTTAGTTTGTTATAGGGAGGCACGAGGGAGGGAGAAATGACCCTGGCGGGTGGCCATGGAGCAATCCTTCCTTTCATTCTTCTCTCAGCATTTTGACCATGCACACACACACATGCCTGACATAATTTTCAAGCCACCAGGTCTGGGACTTGAACAACAATGCTGGCCATGTGGGATCCAGTGGCCTTAACCTCCATGCCACCTGCTGGCCCAGTTCCAGAGAGATTTTCATTTTTTTTTCACCCCAGGTCTTGTAACTTTCTCTTTTAAAAACTTCGGTATTCCTAGTCTTCCTGAGTATACATTTTTAATGATTCAAAAGTCCACTTTAAGAGCTTCAGTGTTAGATTTAGGATAATGGCTTTTCTTTTTTTAAGAGACTTTTGTTATAGGGCACATGCGCTTGCTGAAGATACAGATAGAGGCAGAAAGTGACAATCAGCCCCCGGAGGTATGGCCAAGGTGCAATCCCTTCTCCTCCTTTCTCCTCTTGGGATCTTGGGCATGCACGCACATGCGCCCGGTGTACATTTGAAGCTACCGGGTCCAGGACTGAACTCACGGTCAACTTTGTGGGAGTCCAGTGACGTAGCCATTACACCCTCTGCAGTCCCATAGGATACTGGTTTTTGAATATCTACTATTCTGTTTCATAATCTGTGAACATTCTCTCATTCCCATTTTGAAGAAGAGAAAACTGAGGCTCATGTACTATGAAAAGACCTACCGAGTCCCAGTCGCTCCTTGTAAGGGAGTGGATTTCACCTTACTCCCCCACGGCTTCTACTGTCACTTAAAGTGGTGTCCCCTGGATCGCTGCTACTGAGAGGAACAAGCTTTAGTCCACGCCTGAGCAGTTTGGCTGCAAAAATATCAGCTTTGTGAAGCCAGTTCACTTTATTTTCTATACTGTACCCATGACAGTTTTTCTTAAATCTGCTTAAAAAATATTCTGATTACTATGGCTTAACATTTACATACTCTTCATATTTGCTATTATTAAACAGTGAAAGGACAATACCAAATACCATGAAGCTATATTTCTAAGTATATACTTAATCATTTTTACCATTTTACTATTCCTGGTTTTAGGCCTTGTTTCTCTTTGTTTGTTTGAAGAGAGATTTTTGCTATAGGGTGTGTGCGCTTGCCAGAGACAGAACCAGAGAGAAACTGAGAAGTCTTCATCCTCCTGAGTGGGGGGGGGGGGTAGTGTAAAAGTGGAGTTACTAGCTACTTTGGCTTAAAATGCTAAATTCATGACAGACCTTTGACACTTAAAAATGATATAAAAATAAAGTCTGTTAGATTTTTGTTTTTTGGGGTTTTTTTTCTGAATAAGCTATATAAGAAGTACAACAGAAAAAAATTCTATAGATTAAAAAGGAAATTTATAAACTCTAATTATTAGAGATCATTTCTTACAGAATTAGGGCCAAATTATATACAAGGCCCATAACTTTCCGTTAGGGTATGGGTGTGTGGGTGCATGTGTATAAACTTCACTCTACTAAAAAAGTTTTGGTTTTTTTTTTGGCTATAAAGCATGTGTACTTGCCAGAGCGAGGCAAAGAGAAAGAGAACGTGAGAAAGTATCCTCCCCGGGGGTGGCCATGCTGCCATCCTTTTTCCTCTTGGGATTTTGGGTACCCACATACATGTGCCTCGTGTTTTTTTGTTTTTTTTTTTTCAAGCTATCAGGTCTGGGATTCAAACCACATAGTTGCTATGTAGGATCCAGATGCCTTAACCACCATGCAACTGGCTGGCCCCCACAGCACTGTTTCACAAGCATTTGATAGTGTTTTATTACAAGATACTTTAGTAGAACTACTGATATGGCCCCTTTGGAAAATCAGCCACTCTTTAGCCATTCTGTTTCTCGCAGACCTACTGAACAGATTCTTAATTCACATCACTTGTGAGCAGTGATCCTTTAGGAAGCTATTTCTGAATATATGTTTTATAAAAGCATTCCATGTAAGATCATTTATTTATATTTGGAAAATCATTACTGGAGAACTGGGAGGAGAAATGGTCAAGTCTACCTAAGAGCAGTCGCAGATGGTGACTCGCGAGTGGCAGTGTTACCTCTGTCCTGGCTGGCGCTGCAGTGCAGAGTGAGGCCACGTGCAGAGGAAGTAGCTCCCACATGGCCCACCAGGCTTCCGTCCTGGCTCGATGGCTTGAAATACATGCCGGGGGCCAGCAGGTGGCAGTGCTTAAGGCACTGCTCCCACATGGTGGACCGCGGTTCAAGTCTTGGACCTGGTGGCTTGAAACACACTGGGTGAGTGTGTGTGCATGCCCAAACTCCTGAGAGGAGAATGGAGGGGAAAGGATTGTGGCATGGCCATCCTGCTCAGGGTGTGATATTTTGCTGTCTGTCTCTCTGTGTCTCCAGCAAGTACCCTATAGCAAAAATCTCTCAGAATAGAAACAAAAACATGCTAGGGACATCCATGCACCCAGATCCTGGCAAGATGGCGAACTGGAGGAGGGACTGACAGGTGAGCGGGCCCTGCTGGGCAGTGCGTCTTCCTCTTTTGGGCATGTATGTATGTGCACACGTCCCGTGGCATTAAGGAATAAAGAATTTAACCTTTATTCTAGAGACATGGATTTTTTAGAAGGTTGAAAAATAGTGTTTTAGAGGATGGTTCTAGGACTTAAAGCCTTAACACTTTTTGCTCAAAAACGACGAAAGGACCTATTTTGGAAACCACGGCACGTGGCTCAGGCCACAGAATGGCATGTGAAGTCACCTGCTCTGTACGTAGGCTGGTTTCTCCACTCATCTTCTGGGGGAGGGCTCTGCCTGAGGGCACACGTGCTCACTGGAGAGAGAGAAACAAGCAGTAAGAGGAAAAGCGAGAACCTGCTCCCCAGGGGGGCGGCCACACCACAATCCCTTCTCCTCCATTCTCTTCCCAGGATCTTGGGCGCGCACGCACACGTGCCCCATGTGAGTCTCACGCCACCAAGTCCAAGACTCAAACCGTGGCTGGCCAGGTGGGAGTCCAGTGACATAATGGCTATGCCATCTGCTGGCCCTGGTTTTTTTTTTTTTTTTTTTTTGACACTGACCTAAAATTTAAGAAAAAAAATATTATGAATTTAGCTTTTATTCAAAATTAAATAAGCAAAAGCAAAATTTTTAAGAAACTTTTACAAAGTACTTACATAAAAGAAAGTTAATAGAGTCAGTCACAAGTTTGCAACAGATAATTACAAAAGTACCCAGGGCAGCATGAGTATAAGCCATGTCACGGCATGGCGCTCTAACTGTGATGTGGGTAAGGCATAACTAACATCTGCACCAAGACCGGAATCAAAAACAAAACAAACTGTAAAAGCTCACTCCTACACTGCACTGCTTCTCTTCCCCCAGATCCTCATAACTATGTAATTTTTTTAAACAAACACAATATGTCAAACTATAAATTACATAGATGGGCAGTTAATGTCAAAAGCCCCCTAAAATGTACAAACTAACTGGTACTGCATGGAGTTCTCCACTTCCTTTATGTACAGTTAAATGTAAACCATATTTTCACAGTTTTAAGTGTTTTCTGGATAGAAGCACAGTACCATGTCAGGTTTGCAATTGATCCTGAAAACTGGCTCTAGGTCCTGCACCCAGCGCCTGTCGGCGACTGTGACGCAAGTATTTACATCGATAAGAAACTGTGTCATAGTCAATGGTCAGACAGATCAGCAAGAGCAGGATCTCCAGCGAAGAATGATACTTAATACCATAGTCTACATACTTGTGCAAACAGAAGCTTAGGACAGATACATCTGAGGCAAATTCAACGCGCAAAAACTTGTATCGCTACTGTTGTAAACTTGGGCAAGAAATGACCCTCAACAAGTTCTGCTCTCTATGGCTTTTTTTTTTTTCTTTTAAAATTTTAAAGCCAGAGAAAATGCACACATACTACACACATGCGCGCGCGCGCACACACACACACACACACATACACACTCTCCGCATACATACAGAGTTGTAATTTCATTTTAGAATATGGTACATAGTGCAACTTCATCACAATGTAGAGGTTTGACACACATTCAGTGTGCGTTATTCTGTGCAAGTTCTTAGTGGTCTAAGTCCTCGTTGAAGGTATTCATTTGCAGAACCACATAATTCAGGAGGTTGAAGGAAAAAAAAAAAGTTCATTCCGTTTCTCAAACCAGCACTGGATGTGCGAAGGCAGCAGACACCTGGCTGTTGGTACAGCCAGATTAGGGTGACTGTAAAGTAAGATCCAGTTAGCTACTTAGATTGGTCTCTAGAAAAATAGGTCAGGATATGCTGTATCTTCGTCAGCCGCTCCTTCAAAGCCTTCATCGACAGGACTGACAGCTGATAGCGCGGGTCTACAGGAAGAACTGCAAGCAGCCACCAACACCACGCAGGTCCGTTAGGGGTCGCCTGAAAACAGTCAACAGGGGTGGTATTAGACAGTCAACAGGGGAGGTGAGAGCTTCCGTAGTGACCACAGCAACAGGCAGCCAAACGCTACCACGCAGGAGCACTTCACCATGGCAGTCCCTATCTCTAACGATCCTAGAAGGCGGGCTCTTACTAGGCTCATATAAAACGTGGAAACTAAGCTCAGAGCTGTAATGCAAACACCTAAGACCCTTCTCGTAGGAGGCAGAGCCGTTTCCAGCCCAGACCTGGCTCCACAGCCAGAACTCTTCCCTCTGTACTGCGCTGCTTAGACCAGGTCCTGGCCGGCGGCTGCCGGCGCTCCAGTCGCTCTGCTGTGTGGGGCTGTCCTGTGCGCTGCAGGACATCCAGCTGTGGCCCTGGCCTCCACCCACCAGGTGCCCAGTGTCTGTCCAGTGAGACTAAAAATGTCCGCACATAGTGCCAACGGTCCCATTGGAGCAAAACTGCCCTGGGTGAGAATCTCTTTCTTAAAATGTGTATGTAGGGCTGGCCTGATTGAGGGAGCCAGATCTCTGTGCCAACAGCAGACCCTGGCCCTGGCACCCTGAAGGCTGTGCTGGGCCGAGTACACGTGTGCCCCCAATCCTGCCAGGACGTGGGAACGGAGAAGGCACTGTGGCTGACTGCTCTCTGTCTCTCTCTGGAAAGTGTACGTGCCCTCTAGCAATTTAAAAAATGTGTATGCAAATATGGAAAGCATTAAGGAAAGTTCATTTAAGAACTCCTTAAATTTTTCTAAAATATTCTCAATTGAATTTAAAATTTCCTCCAAGTATTGTGGAATCCTAGGAAAGATACAAGAAAAAGCGCCCCGATTTTCCAGCTAGGAAGTCCCTCGGCGCTTGATGGGGCTACTGACAGGAGGGATTACACACAGGATCCGCCGGACGGCCACGCTGCACCGAGTCGCACTGGGGGCAGGAGAGCTCCGACGTCAGCGTCGCTCTCGGCCAGCTCCCTCAGAACAAAGGTGGGTCTCCACGACTGTGAATGGAGAGTTCTCTCTCGCATCAGACCAGCTTCTGCCGTCCTGAGATGACAGAAACTGCATCTCCGGCTCCTTCCCCACATGGCTCCAAGTCGGGCTGGGCCAGTGAGAGGCACTCTTACATGGTGTGGGGTCGGAGGAGAAAGGACTACTTCCTGGAGAATGATCCAAGCGTGGGAGCAGCTATCCAGAGATTTCTCCACAACTGCTTGTCCCACTTCAGTGGACTGAGACACTGGGGGGACTCCACAGCGACTTCTCCTCCAGGTCTGGAGAAGCACCTGCCTTGTAGTTCCAGGTGGAGATTTGTGGTGGCAGATTCCACGAGCCCATTAGAGACACCCCTGAGCCTCACTCCAGCTCTTCCAATGCTGTATGAGCTCCTTATCCGGCATCAAACCTTTTATTCCTGCAGATGCAGAGGGGCTGCTTATGATCCTGACTGGAGCCTGACTAACAAAATATGACTAACAGAAAGCAGGAGTAGGGACGGGATTTTTAAAAAGGCAAGAGTGGTATTGGTAGTAGAAAGAAAATAGCTATTAAAATGTTTTACAACATTTAAAATTTAAGTATTTTAAATAAAAAACCATTCAAACTTTACTCAAGTTTGTTTTTATCAAAGCTCATTTGTATTAAGTTTAATCAGATTCAGGTAGCCAGGATAAAACAAACACGTGACAACTGGTAAGAAGCCAGAAAGAATGGGAACTCAACCCGCCGAGGTTTCGAGGTCGGCTGAAGGACCTCACTGGGATTCAGACAGACTGGACAGACTACCCACAGAATCGGGGCGGTGTGCACCACAGTGGGGCCTGGCCTCTCTCGGCTTCCACACATTTATTTACAGCCATTCCTTTATGAAATCTGTCACCTTCTGACCACAATAATGGATGCAATTCAATCAAAAATGCTTATGTCTAAATGTCAGTGCTTCGATGAGTCTATAATCAGATTTCCCAGAACAGGGATCCTCCTTTTATGCCCCTTTCAGTGCCTACTGCACGGGTCTGGAAATTTAAATGTAAATCCCAAATACCTGAGCAAGACCATGGGAATAATGATTTCACGAGGAGTGAAGCAGTTACACATGAAGAGATAAAAAGGAATTGAAGTGGTGGGGTAAAATGTTGAGAACAGGACAAGTGAGAAAATATTGAACTTTTTTGGAGGTTTTTGCTATAGGGCACGTGCGCTCGCCAGATAGACAGAGACAGAGAGACAGAAAGCGAGAAATCACCCCCCAGGGGGAATGGCCACGCAGCAATCCCTTCTCCTCCATTCTCCTCTCGGGACCTTGGGCACGCATGCACACGTGCCCGGCATGAGTTTAAGCCACTGGGTCCGGGACTCGAACTGCGGTCGACTACATGGGAGTCCAGCGACATAGCCATTATGCTAACTGCTGGTCCCGAGAAAATATTGTTAAAAGTACAGAAAATGATTTATCTCTTACTGTCAAAGAATAATAGCAAGGCTCAAAGGCAGTCACAATTTACAATGCCTAATATCTCACTTTTAATTCCTCATTCCTCCTTCTAGAAAATCCTCAGTTAGGAACTCACTTCCTCGGGGCCATGGTGTGGTGGTTAAGGGCGCCGGACTCCCACATGGCCGACCACAGTTTTGAGTCCTGGACCCGGCGGCTTGCTTTCTCACTCTCTCACTTTGTCCCTCTATGGTCAAATTGAAGTAGATGAAAAAATAAATAAAGTTTAATAAAATAATTCTTTAAAAAAAAGAACTCACTTCCTCTGTATCTCTCTCTCCTCAAGGCCTTAGCGAATACCTAGCTCCATCTCTGCCGAGATAAAATGCACTGACTACTGCCCTGAAGGAGACAGTCATGACTCTAAGGCCAGGGAATGGTCACAGGAAATGCTATGCAGAAAGGACGATGAAAAAGGAAATTCAAACTCTACTAATTCGGGCTTATGAAAAACTGAGACTCCTGGCAGCAGTGTCAAAGCCATCGTACCTGAAGATCTTCCTCCCTCTCAGGCATTGATCCAAAGTGCTGAAGAATTTGGCTTCGAAATCTGTCTCTTAAATTCTGAAACCAGCTGCAGGCTTGAGAGTATACCAAGTCATGAAGCTCTGTGAGAGTCTTTATCTCATCTTCATTCTCGACCTAGAAATGTAAATAACAGTTGGTAAGAGTTCCGTGTCTAACCCTATCCATATAACCAGCCTACAGAAATGGAAAACAGCCTGAGGAAAGCAGAAGGCCCGTCTCAGGGCTGGATGTCGGAGAACACTGTTCTTGGGCCGTAACAGCGAGTAGTCCCGCTTCCTAAAGACCGCCATGCCGCACTACATCAGGCACCAGGCCCACACGCCACCTAGCCTCGCTGACTTAGAGCAATACTGTGAGCCCTACAACAGTGAAGAACGTGACAGTGCATCCGACCCAAAGTCTACGCAAACTTGGAATTCTTTTCAGCTTTATGGGCCCATGGATTTTGAAAGCAGCAGAATAAAAAAGTGGAAGGAGACAGCTAGTATGATAGAAGAAAACACAGGCGAGACAAGGGGTCAGGCTGGAGACTCTATGGCACAAAGCAGTACCAGGAGGAGCCAGGCATAACCACTAGGGAGGTGGGTCAAAAGACAAACCAGAAACTGCAACGAAGAACTTGGCACATAAGGTCAGTACCTCCAAAGACAGAAACGAACTACGCACTGAAGAACTTGCCTTGTGAAGGCTTCACGCTGCGGCACCCTCTGTGACCCCCCCAGCACCCGTCAGACCACTGCGTCAACTGCACGTAAAATAAAACACCCTGGTCTCCCGGCCCGAGACCCCGAAGAGCAGACTCCGAGCCAGCAGGAAGACGCAGCGCGGACTCGCCCATCTCACGCTCGTCCCTCACACGCTGACTCTGTCCCGCTGGCTGTGTGCCAGGTGGGGCCGGTTCAGACACGAACTCAGCTGCACAGGACCGGGCCTGACTCAGCGCTCACACTTCGAGGATGGCTAACGTAAAAACCACAGAGGGACTCTGAAAACAGCTGGAGATACGAAAGGTAAGATCACAGCACACAGAGACAGAAGAACATACTTCTTACTTTGGCAAGATTTGAAATGAAAATTAAAGCTTACACAGTGTGAATGCCCTTAATGCCACTCAACTGTGCACTTGAAAACATTACGAGTGGTTAAAACGGTCAAATTTGACATTATGTATATTTTACCACAATGGAATGAGTTTTTAAAAAAATAATTACTTAACTTTGTTAATTTTAATTTGATCAGTGAGGAACAGAATGAGAGAGAGAGGAAGAGAGAAAGAGAGAAAGAGGAAAAGTGAGAAAGCAAGCCACCAGGTCTGGGACTCAAACTGTGGTTGGCCATGTGGGAGTCTAGTGCCTTAACCACCATGCCACCTTCCGGCTCCACATGAAAGTGAGTTTTTAAAAAATGTACAGGGGGGCTGGCAGGGGATGTGGTGGTTAAAGGTGCTGGACTCCCACATGTGAGAGAGAGAGAGAAAGACAGACAGACAGAGACAGACACATATGTTTAGCCAAATACTCAAGGGGTTTTTGTCATCAAACCCAGTATGTGATGAAGTAAAGTTATTTAAAGCTAAAACATGGTTATTAGTTTTATAAAGAACACTGCCTTTAGCAAATTACTCTGTTAACCATACGAAGTAGATGAAAAAATAAATAAAGTTTAATAAAATAATTCTTTAAAAAAAAGAACTCACTTCCTCTGTATCTCTCTCTCCTCAAGGCCTTAGCGAATACCTAGCTCCATCTCTGCCGAGATAAAATGCACTGACTACTGCCCTGAAGGAGACAGTCATGACTCTAAGGCCAGGGAATGGTCACAGGAAATGCTATGCAGAAAGGACGATGAAAAAGGAAATTCAAACTCTACTAATTCGGGCTTATGAAAAACTGAGACTCCTGGCAGCAGTGTCAAAGCCATCGTACCTGAAGATCTTCCTCCCTCTCAGGCATTGATCCAAAGTGCTGAAGAATTTGGCTTCGAAATCTGTCTCTTAAATTCTGAAACCAGCTGCAGGCTTGAGAGTATACCAAGTCATGAAGCTCTGTGAGAGTCTTTATCTCATCTTCATTCTCGACCTAGAAATGTAAATAACAGTTGGTAAGAGTTCCGTGTCTAACCCTATCCATATAACCAGCCTACAGAAATGGAAAACAGCCTGAGGAAAGCAGAAGGCCCGTCTCAGGGCTGGATGTCGGAGAACACTGTTCTTGGGCCGTAACAGCGAGTAGTCCCGCTTCCTAAAGACCGCCATGCCGCACTACATCAGGCACCAGGCCCACACGCCACCTAGCCTCGCTGACTTAGAGCAATACTGTGAGCCCTACAACAGTGAAGAACGTGACAGTGCATCCGACCCAAAGTCTACGCAAACTTGGAATTCTTTTCAGCTTTATGGGCCCATGGATTTTGAAAGCAGCAGAATAAAAAAGTGGAAGGAGACAGCTAGTATGATAGAAGAAAACACAGGCGAGACAAGGGGTCAGGCTGGAGACTCTATGGCACAAAGCAGTACCAGGAGGAGCCAGGCATAACCACTAGGGAGGTGGGTCAAAAGACAAACCAGAAACTGCAACGAAGAACTTGGCACATAAGGTCAGTACCTCCAAAGACAGAAACGAACTACGCACTGAAGAACTTGCCTTGTGAAGGCTTCACGCTGCGGCACCCTCTGTGACCCCCCCAGCACCCGTCAGACCACTGCGTCAACTGCACGTAAAATAAAACACCCTGGTCTCCCGGCCCGAGACCCCGAAGAGCAGACTCCGAGCCAGCAGGAAGACGCAGCGCGGACTCGCCCATCTCACGCTCGTCCCTCACACGCTGACTCTGTCCCGCTGGCTGTGTGCCAGGTGGGGCCGGTTCAGACACGAACTCAGCTGCACAGGACCGGGCCTGACTCAGCGCTCACACTTCGAGGATGGCTAACGTAAAAACCACAGAGGGACTCTGAAAACAGCTGGAGATACGAAAGGTAAGATCACAGCACACAGAGACAGAAGAACATACTTCTTACTTTGGCAAGATTTGAAATGAAAATTAAAGCTTACACAGTGTGAATGCCCTTAATGCCACTCAACTGTGCACTTGAAAACATTACGAGTGGTTAAAACGGTCAAATTTGACATTATGTATATTTTACCACAATGGAATGAGTTTTTAAAAAAATAATTACTTAACTTTGTTAATTTTAATTTGATCAGTGAGGAACAGAATGAGAGAGAGAGGAAGAGAGAAAGAGAGAAAGAGGAAAAGTGAGAAAGCAAGCCACCAGGTCTGGGACTCAAACTGTGGTTGGCCATGTGGGAGTCTAGTGCCTTAACCACCATGCCACCTTCCGGCTCCACATGAAAGTGAGTTTTTAAAAAATGTACAGGGGGGCTGGCAGGGGATGTGGTGGTTAAAGGTGCTGGACTCCCACATGTGAGAGAGAGAGAGAAAGACAGACAGACAGAGACAGACACATATGTTTAGCCAAATACTCAAGGGGTTTTTGTCATCAAACCCAGTATGTGATGAAGTAAAGTTATTTAAAGCTAAAACATGGTTATTAGTTTTATAAAGAACACTGCCTTTAGCAAATTACTCTGTTAACCATACATGTGGACGGCACAAACCACATCAATCAACTCAGAAGTTCAACGCACACACGTCTGTCCTACTGCACAAGGTAGGCCCTCAGCTCCTCCACGAGATGGACAGAAGGACCAGCCTGACCGAGTCTGTAAGCAGAGGCTATGTGGTGTAATGGTAACGACCTAGCCCGGAGTCAGACAGCTGGCTTGGAATCATTTTCTGTGAGGTATCTATAGATCCAAGGAGATTATTATCACCCCTGGATGTACTTTTCCTACCTGCAATTTTGTAGACGTATAAAATTCAGTGAGCTAATGCTGGCGAAAATGCCCAAAGCCAACGCTGAGCAAGCTGACTGGAAGGAGGGCCTATACAAGCCCGTGGACAGGTGATGGAAACTCTCTCCCAAATAAACCGTCTTTGATGTGCTAGTCACAGCATCTCAGGGCGGTCTTCTGACCCCTGAGCACATTACAGCCGGTGAGTGGGAACAGCAAAAGGGCATTAGCTCTATGCAGGAAAGACACCCGCTAACCTGGGCAGGTCAGGCATCGCCGCCCCGCACACCGACAGTGCTTCGTCTGTGTGGCCGCAGCTGGACACAGCACCCAGTGGTTTACTATTAACATTACGGTTAGCTCAAACACGGGCGCGACCTCGATGTCCAGTCTACATGACTGCCTTTACGTCAAATGCCAGTCCACTGATGACGCTCACTTTGGCAATAAATTCAATAAAACAAGGACGAGACGAGTACCCTTTCAAAACTTAAATGGCTTGGAAGTTCAGCTTAGCCCATTGCTAAGTTAGACATCGATCACACATACACACATGTGCAGGTGTACCTAGGCACACAAGCATTCTAGGCACTGTGCTGCTGTCCCTATACGATGCAGAGGATCTAGGCTCTAGACCTGCGAGTTCTCTTGGAAGGCACAATAATTTAAGAGCAAGGTAAGGAGAAGGTAAGTTGGAATTAATTCTTCCTGACAATAAGAACTGGCTCACTTGCCTAGAAACATCACCCATATTCTCGTACTGATCTCTGGGACAGAGAATACTGAAGTACAATGGAAAAGAACATTAAAAAAACTACCTTAACATCTTCCAGATATTCAATGTCTGCAGTGCAATATCCATCTTTCATTCCTCTTTTTAATACCCGAAACCGCTTTCCTCCAACGGTATCAACCACAGACCTTCCATCGGGTAAGAAATGTACATTTCTGATTTGTAACATACAACCATAATCTGCAAAGCTAAAAGAAAAACTAATTAGTGTCACAGTTCAGGGACAACCTCGAAAGCTCTCGTCCACATTCAACGCAGTTCTAATATAAACGCGAATCTGAAGCTCAGACAGCTCACCTGTTCTGTGTGTCGCTGACGCACATGCCGAACTGCTTGGTTCCCGTTTGTATACTCCTTCGGATCATTAACCTGTATCTTGGCTCAAATACATGAAGAGGGCAAGGCACAGTGGGGTAGGCCATAGTGCAAACGAAAATTGGAACATTCTTGGTCAAGCTGAAGGGGAAAAGCATCATGATTGTACACGTGAACACGCGTCAAAAGTGAGTAACACTTCTAATAAATATAAAACAAAAAAAAATCAGTTCTAAACGAGGCGGTTTAATTCTCCGCAAGAACAAGAACCAACATCCCCCTTCACCGAGCCCACAGGGAGGTGACATCCACACTCAAATCTTTGTGATCCCCATATCTGCAGGAGTAAATCTGAATTCCGAGACTCCAGGTTTTCATGCAGAACCAAGTATCTTTATAGCTCAAAGGGGATTGATTACAACTAATATTTTCCATATTAAAAACCTACTGAACATATTTGTAACATATGACATAGTATCTTTTATCTGTAAAACACGGTTACTCTGAAAACAATAAGAAAAAATGAACACCCAAAATAGACCCCCCAAAAAACCATATAACTAAAAATTCCTAGGCATGAAAATATTTTCAGACTTGCTACCAAAAACCATAACCCAACAAGGTAACATTTTTTCCAGATGATTAAAATGGCATTCTGTCCTTCATGGCCAGACTGGTAGAAAGTAAGAGGGATGCAGGCGAGGCACAGTTTGAGCGAGGGGCCGGGGAACACCGGCAGGGGTGTGGCAGGGCGTTCAAGCAGTGCGGCAGTGAAGAACGGCCACGCCACGCCTGACAACATTTCAGCCCGTGACGAGCCGCGTGTATGACGTGGTCTCGTACCAGACCGTGCCATCTAGCCTCGGCTCTCCCGTCTGGGTTTCTGTAACTATGCACTAAGACATTTGCGCCATGCTGAAACTGCCCAACGACAGATTTTTCAAAATGCACTGGCGTTGTTAAGTGATGCACGACTGGACGGCAGAAACCGTCACGCGTGCGCGTGTCCTTTGAACCAGGTTTACTTCCGGCAGTAATGCTGCATGTGCTAGTCTGTGCTCGCTACAGTCTGGGGATAGCCAGCCCCGAGCAGACACGAGCTGAGTGAGAGCAATTACTGTGCACCTGCAACACAGAATCCGAGGTGTCCACGAACAAGTGTGTACGAGACTGACTTAGAAAATGGTTTCTATTGATAAGAGGAGGTGACAGAGTAATGCATGATGATCCCGTCTTTGCTTAAAGTATATTTACGTATATTAATGTCTGAAAAGAATATGTCAAAATGCCAATGGTGAGTCCCCTTGGGTTGTAGATTATGGCTTTTCTCTTTCCTATTCATTTCTTGAAAGGTTTCCTTTGAAATAATCATAATTACTTATATGATAATTCAAAAAATGTTTAAAATATGTGGTAAAAATAGCCCCTTTAATAAGCAGTAAGATACCCTTCGGCATCTCTCCAAGACCCATAGACTCTTCTGTGGATGGTCTGGCTATATCACTACGCTGAAGATTTCAAAAATGCTACTACAGCTTTCTCCAATCTCACTTCTTCAGTGTTGACCAAAAAGGCTCATAATCCTCACATCAAAATATTTTCTACTATAAAATCACATGAGAAAACATCAACTGGGAAGACCCACTAATATCAATTTCTGTGAAGAAAACTTGGAAAGCTTTCTTCTGTTAAAGGCTGTTGGCCCACTGACAGCATGTGATGGCCACTTACTGAGAAACAAAATCTATAGGCACAATCCATTCTTTTAAATAAGTTACAACAGCATATCAAAATTTAAATCTTGTTCCTTAGTGTGTTCAGTTAAAAGAAAATGAAAGAAACAGAGTAAAGACTCTAAAAGCCTGTGAAAGAAATTTAGGAAGACCCAACTGACTAGCGCAGGAGGTTAATCACTGAGGGAAAAGGGAGAAGAGTGCGAGAAAGAAGCACAGGGCAAGGGTGCCAGGCTGCCCTGCCTGCTCGGCCACACCCTCAGCAGCTGTGGGGTACTGGACCCCAGGTGACCTCCAGTGCCCGCTGTCCTTACACTAACTCACGGTTTCCAGATGCATCCTTTTTCTTATTTTAAAATGTTTGCCATAGAACCCATATGCTCGCCAGAGAAAGACAGAGAGGGAAAGTGAGAAATCAGTTCCCCTTTCCCTCTTGGGATTTTGGGCATATACACACACACATGCCCCGACATGGTTTTCAAGCCGGCAGGTCCAGCCATGTGGGAGTCCAGAACCTTGACCACCACACCACCTGTTGGCCCGTACCAGCCGTACCCTTGTTAATTGGAGATCTGGCCCGAGTCACTCCTTCCTTACTAGTTTTAGATCTCGGGTTTGGAAAGCCTCCTTCTACATCTCCAGAGGCTAGCGTCCCCTGAGAGTCTAGCTCCCTTACCCTCAGCCCTTCTCCTGCTCTGCTGCGTGACACAGTTACTACTGTTAGCCCCTCTGTCCTCGGTCCCCTGCCTGATGTCCCTGCGGGGTATCCCTCCCCCTCTGCAGTACTGCTTCAGCCCAAAGACCCGGGTCGGTGAGTCCTTACTGAACATGTGGCTGTTACCGAACGAACTGTGATGAAAGCGTGACCCCTCTGTTGAGAACAGGAAACTAACAAACAGGTGCTTCGAATACACTTTTGACTAGACTCAGCTGGAGATACGATCTGGCCGGTGGGGAAAGGTTTCTCCTGACTGTTTTGAAGGGCAGTTCATAATTTGATTCCACCAGTTTTTATGAGAAGAAACTTACTGTGAGAGTTCAGCAGTTTCTTCATCATATATTTTTTTTCTCTCAGACAGCTCATCAGGTAGGTACTTCACTATTAATTCTTCCAACAGCTGTGTGACACAGTACCTCCTATCTGCTAGATACTAAAAGACAATATCATTTTACATTCCGGTAGTTGCTTCCTCTGGTCACATACAACAGGCAAGACAGTTGAACGGATACACCGCAGCCTCGATGACATAGTTACACCGCTGATTCTCAGGTGGTTTCATAAGCGAGGGGGAACATGGCCACGGAGGCCTAGGACGTGAACCAGCCTGAGGCTTTGCTTGAGAGCCTCCCGCGGCTGCGGCAGCCCAGGCACTGCCCGCAGAGCCACTTCTGCTTTGATCACAAATCCTTCATGAGCAGCAGTTAACCCTACCCCCTGCTACCTCCCAATTTCTGCCTGACAGCTCAAGTGTACGCAAACTATAAATTGAGAAACAGAAAGATAATAAGGAATAAAGAAAATAATGCATCTGTGTCTTATTTAAGAAAAGCAAAATCATTTCATTTGTGTCCCAATTTTAGAGGCAAAGTCTCTAGGTAACTCGGCTTGCAGATTTTCCTCCCACGGTCAGCCCCTGTCACTCAGACCTTGAAGCTACTGGCTTTCCTATATAACCCATCCACCCCTACTCTACGTAAAATGGGTATTTGTACTACTCCGTGAATACTCGGAAAAACGGCTAAGCTCGTGCGTTTTTATGATATTCTTTATCCCAACTAAAGTCATCTATGTCTCACTCCTGCTTTGGAAAAGCCCGTCTATCCTTCAAGATCTGGCTCCAATGTGCCATTTCATGAAGCTGTAATTACTGTTTTCTGTCCCTAAACCTTCCATTTGGCCGATACGACCGTTTAACAGGCATTTACCGCACCAGAGCCTGCACCACGTGATCTGGAGAGATGCACTACATCCCTGTCACTGAAATAAAAACTGCTGAGCGCCTGGTGTGCGCACAGAACTCTGCATAAAAAAGTCCAATACATATTTATTTTATAAAAGTAGTGGGGAAAACCTCTTGGGAGACAATCATGAGATATAGCCACCCTCTAATCTACAAAGTCAGCAAAAGCAGGTGTCTTGTTATCATCCTGACAAGCAGCTTAGGAAATGTGAGGGGCTAAGAAATTGGCCATTGTGATCCAGCAATTAATCCCAGGATCTAACCTGGGGCAACGGCCTAAAACACAGTCACTCATTCAAAATGCTACGATCAAAGTCACAGTATATAAAAGGGAAATGACGAAAAATTTATATATGCAAAAACAGGGAAGTAGCAAATCACTATACTTATGCTGACATAAAAGTCATGTCTGAAATACTTTTAAGTGGGAAAAAATAGCAAAGTAAAATAAGTAGGAAAAAATACTATAGACCATACAGTCTTATTGTGAAATTGCATATATTATATACAATTATATTTTACAAATTTTATTATATAGAGTGTCTTCAAAGTGGACACAGAATAAACATTTGGTTGCAGGATAATAATATTAGTTATATTTTCAAATAATATGCTTAATATATTTTTCTTCAAACTCTAGTTTTTAAGATGAAATATTTCTAAACTAAAGCAATGAAATTAGCAGTCTGAAAAAGGCATGGTAATTTTAATATAGAGTATTTTTAAATGCTGGATTAACAGTACTTTACCCAAAAACAGATTCTATTAGCTGAAAAAAACTAATTCTTTAAAAATAAACTTATGCTTCCTGACCTTGTGAACGTTCTGTGTGGTTTGCTGTACACGTTAGCCAGTTAAATATGAAGACATACATGAACCATGACAGTGTACATGTGCTATTATCATAGCTGAACAGAGGTGCTGTCCACACAGGGAGTAAGCCCATGCACACTCATGACGGTTTTGTTCAGTTTTTACTTGTATTTGGAAGATCCTGTTTCTCTGTAAACAATCCTGTCCGTCAGTTGGGACAGACAGAACTACCTTCTCCACTTGACGTCCCCATGAAATCCCTGCTCAGAATCGTCAGGGGACCACCCGTCACTCCAGCCTGACTGCGGGTGCTGTCCTCACCGGGTGACGGGTGACGATGCCCACTGAGACAGCAGATCGCTGACTAGCACGAGAAGGGTGCGGGGTGCTCCGCTCCTTTTCAGAGCTGCGTCGGCCAGTGCTAGGCACGGGTCACGAGCACCGACTCGCGCTTAACTTAGGTAAGCAGAACCAAAAATGCAGTCCTTGGCCACGCCGGCCACATCTCAAGTACTGAAAAGCCACAGGAGGCTGGTGGTCGGCACCCTAGACGGCAAAGACACAGGATGTTCACATGATACGAAGGGCTCTGGATGGAGCTGGTCCAGGTGGTCATGGAGCTAGAACAGGTCTCCAATGTGGCCTCTAACTGAGGGTAGGGTCCTCCAGCTGTCATCACTAAAACGACCTTGTCCCTACCTGGGTAACTACGGTGCCTTTGGTAAAACAGGGAAGTAGGAGGGGCCTGGTCTGCGGGCCGGTCTTAGTTCCCTACCCTCTCTAATCGTACTTTCTCACAGCGTGAGCATTATCCTCTGTAGTCACTCAGCATATATGCACTGTGCTTCATTAATCAGTGCTCCCACGGCTACAAAGAATCAAAGCTTGTTGCCAAACTTAATGTCAGCAAACATACACACAAACACTTACCTCTTTTAAGCTCTCTTTGCAAAGGGGACAATATGGTGTGTGATCTAAACAACGCTCGAGACAATTCTTACAGAACGAATGTCCACAAGGGGTTGTCACCGGCTCAAAGAACAACCTGCAATGACCCCAAATACATGTTAGTTTTCAGATTAAACTATGCGTTGGAAAAGCCAGCACCATGATAGAATCCTAGCACCAAACTCTAGAGGAGGGAGGAGGAGGGACTGGTGGGCAGGACAGAAGGAAAGGGCCGTGGGAAATTTAACAGTACCCTGCTCAGGCCCTGGAGCTACACTGGCATAGCAGGCCACTAAGCGCCAGAGACACAGATCCAAACTGAGATGTGCACTAAATGCAAAACACACGCCAGACCCGAACGGGTGGTAAATAAACAATCCAACTTATATCCGTATTAATTAGCATTTGTACTGCCTTAAGATTCCCATTTTATTATGAACTTAAAACTAGTTCCTGTGGGGCCAGCAAATGGTATAATTGTTATGTCACTAGACTCCCACGTAGTCAACCAAGGTTCAAGTCCCACACCCAGAGGATTAAAACTCATGCTGGGCGTGTGTGTGTGTGTGTGTGTGTGTGTGCCCACGATCCCGAAAGGAGAATGGAGAAGGGATTGTGGCCTGACTATCCCCCCTGGGGGGCGATTTCTCGCTTTCTGTCTATTTCTGTCTGACAAGTGCATGTATCCTACAGGAAAAAAATCTCTTTTTTTATTAAATAAAGGGGGGGAGAAGGTTCTCTTAATAGGCTTCCAAAAGCCTTACTATATAAAATTCATTAAAAAAATCAGTCTAGTATCTTTGATTCTATCACGACTTATGTAAATGAGAAATGTGCTTTCAAAATATTCAGTTTTTCAGAATTATAAACATCTTGTATAATGAAAATCCTTATCCAATGGTACCGAAAAAGAATTTTATGGTTAATATGCATAAACTACATAGAATCATATACATAAAAACAATTAAAATTCTTACCAAATCTAAAACCATGGATATTTCTAAGTTTAAGTAACATCTGTAACTTTTCTTTTTTTTTAGAGGTTTTTGCTATAGGGCGCGTGCGCTTGCCAGACAGACAGAGAGAGACATAGAGACAGAAAGCGAGAAATCACCCCCCAGGGGGGATGGCCACGCCACAATCCCTTCTCCTCCATTCTCCTCTCGGGATCTTGGGCACGCACGCACACGCGCCTGGCATGAGTTTTTTTTAAGCCACCGTGTCCGTGACACAAACCGTGGTCGACTAAGTGGGAGTCCAGCGACATAGCCATTACACTAACTGCTGATTCCCAACATCTGTAACTTTCACAGAACTTTGCAATTTCTCAGATTCTGTTTATACATAAGTCATTTGATTTTCAGAACACTGCGATTTAGGCCATGCAAATACTGACCTCTCTTTATAAATAAGGAAACTGACATTCAGAGACTCAGTTACAGCCGTGTGACAACGATGGTGTTTGGGCCACTATGTACACAGCAGACCCCACGGCATTCCACAGGCCACGCCGCCAGCCCGGGTGTGCAAGAACGGCACCACCTGAGTCTGGGCAGGCACACTGTCCTGCGTTTGCACGACGAACTCGTCTAGGGACACACTTCTCTGACCATCTCCCTGTCACCAGTACAACCTGTGTCCAGCCGAAGTGTGAAAAGTAAACCTAGGACTAAATTTCTACCTTTGATGCGTAGTCCAGTGTGTCCTTGCCTATCATTACCTCTGTCTACACTGCATTTCACATTTTGATACAAATACGCATCTTCTTTTAGGAACTAATTTAATTTTCTTGATTCTTTTTTTTTGGCGGGGGGGGGGGCGGGGGCTTTTG